ACACTGCTGAGAAAACTGAGTCAGCATTACAGGATCTACAGAAGCTTCTCTGAGAGAGGAATTATAAACATACTGTAAACATGAATAGAGAAATTCAAGACACAAAAACATTTCCCATCTTAACCGTTTTAGCTTGAATTTTATGTTAATATTTTATAATTTCCTGATTGTTCTCCAGCCCAAGCTGCTGTACTTTTATCTCTCACTGTACAGACAGAATTATTCCCTTGACAACAACCACATATTTGAAGTGTTTAGTGCCTCTAACAGGTCACTACCCTCCACCACATAATGGAAAAAATCTGATTCATCTGATTCAGCCTTTATTTTATCACCGACATTACATTGGTAAAATGAATACAAATTCAGAAACTTGTGTCGTTGGACTGGTAGTCTTGGAATGTGAATAAAACTTGTGTTGCTGATATTATGACCTCTGGTTCCTAACAACACCACAGTAAATAAATCTGCATAAAAAAGTTTCTCTACAATGAAGCATTTCATGCCATCACTCTGAGTAACTGTGTTTTATTTATTTTCATCTCATATCAAGTGCAGCATCAGTTTGAAATCAAAACTATGATTAGGTGTCTATACTGTATGAATGATTATATACACTTACTCGGTTCTACTGATGCTCCATTCCCAAAAAGGATTTCCACACGCAGCCACAGTGCAGTAGTAAGTTCCAGTATGGTGGTGGTCGAGGATGTGCTTGGAGAAGTTGTACACAGAGCTGTGTGTAGAAGAGCTGATCTCACACTGACGGCTGCTGCTGTTCTGATGAGTGTAAATGATTTCAGGAAAGGATTGTCCTGCAGCAGCTCTGAACCAGAGCACTCAGAGATCTTCTGGTTCCATCTCAGAGAGGACCATGCACTGCAGAGTTATCTATTCTCCTGGAGAAACTGACCCCCGTACAGGAGTTTGCAGCACTGATATGTTTAACTGATGGTTACCTGGTGAATATAATAAGGAAGTCTTATTATAGGTACATTGTGTCAAGATTAAAAACAATACTGTGTTAATGACTTGAAATGTAAAACATTAACCCAACATTTTATTCTAAATACAATAAATACAGTATAATATATATTGAAAGCAGTAATGTGATTACCTATCACAGCTAAGACTATGATACTAGAAAATGTAAATGTTTTTTACTTTGTCCACAGAAGTACATTTACAGAAGAAAACATTTCCATTTACACTGAATTTTGAATCAGGTACAATGGGATTTTTGTCTTCTATCTTTGATACCACTTCTTTAGGTTTCTGCCACAGTTGTTGTTTGCACCAAACCTTAATGTGTGTATCAGACTTTTCAGTTTTGCAAGACTTACTTTCTCCAGCCTTAATGAGATAAACTGGTCATTCAGATCCACAGCTTCAACAAGACCTACAAAATGACTTGAAATCAATCAGAAGCAATAAGAAAAATAGAGGATGACATTTTAGTCCAGAATCAAATTGCAATTTAATATCTGACAATTTTGTGAAGAGCTCTTAACTTACATATTATGTAGAGAGATAAAATGAGAATCTGCACTGGAGCCATCCTGATCATCATCATCATCATCATCATCATTATTATTATGATCATAAGATGCTTTACTTATTTGAAGTAACTTAAAGAAAAACCTTCTGGCCAAATCACCAAACTGCATTAGCATGCTGAGCTCAAGAGATCTGATTGGCTGGTGAATGTCACAAGGTTTTTTTTTTTTTTGTTCGTTTGTTTTTTTTTTAAACACTATGTTTAAAAAAATTGCTTCCTTGCTCATAGTGATTTTAAGTGTCATTTTAAGAAACATGGTGCTTAATATTTTCATCCAATCCACATGATGTTTATTCAGTGCCGCTGCTGATTCGGTGCCATATGTCTTCCAGAAGTGTCCACATCTGCTTACCATCTGGAATGTTTTCTATCATTTTCTGCTGGAAGATCCAAGCATTGTTTTCTATTTTTGTATTTGACTTTTTAAAGTTCTTGTGAGTGAACTATAATTTAAAGTCATCTAGCTTAACATTAGAATACCTGGTACCTGGTGATACCAGTAGGAGGCAGCGTGAGCATTGGCTGTGCTCTGGGTATCTACTGTGGTTTGCACATGGTCTACAAGATACAATAAGACCAGAGCTAAGCTGATTAATAAAATAAAGGATGATACTTAAATAAGTTACCAATACACCCAAAAATTATGACCAAATGAGGATTCTGAAGAGATAGTAAACTTACAAATCATGTAGAAATCTAAAATGAGCATCTAAATCAGATATAAGAAGATATAAAAAGCTGTTCTTATTTTAAACAAACTGGAGAGGAAGCATGAGCATGACACTTTTTCAGCAGGCTGGACCCTCGCTGCTGAAAGTCAATTTTTTTCTGTCTGCTTGTTGTTTAACCTCTTACATGGCCAGGGCCTGACAGTGGGCCCAAAGCTTTATTACACACTTCTATAACCTAAAAATAGCTCAGCCACTTTACAATGAACTTCCTTTATTTACTCAAGAATAAGCCTTAGTATACAATAAGCTTGAGATTTTTGGTTACACAAAAAAGTCAGTCTTTGAAAGCAATGAATAAATTATGTATGAAAAAAACTATCCAGGTGCCTCTGTAGTGAATTCAACTATATTAATATGTTTGAAATTTCATAGAAAACTGTTGCCAGTAGATTGGGATGCTCTGGATGGACTCTTTATTAATAGATTTGATTTCAGATGAAACACTGAATGATCAGGTGTCTACATACATATGGACATATAGACTACATAATTTTGAAAAGGTGAAATATTTTAAATTATATCAGTGGCGAACCAAGACTATTAGATCTAGGCCTTCCATTCAGGCCAAGTCAGAACATCACCAGTAATCATATACAATGAACCATTTCACATTAAACCACTCTGAATGACTTTGTTTACATCCCATAACTTGAATTATACAGGTTTTGAAATTCGTCTTCAATCACATTCAGGATTTGGAAAAAATAAATAAATACATAAAAATAACACATTTGCTTAGAATCATACTTCTCAATCCAATGTGTCATGCAATAGTGACCACAATAGTAGCCAATAAATACTGTCAGCCATTAAACATTTAAGGAGCTACAGAATTTTATCCAGGATACTGAGATATGTCTTTTAAAAGTCAGAGTCCTGTATGTTAGATAATGTTTATTTAGGGGTAAATGACATGATGAGGCAGAAGGCGTAGCTTATATTCACTATATTCTCTCAGGTCTGAGAGGAAAGAATTATGAAACCACAGTAGATACCCAGAGCTCAGCCAATGCTCACACTGCCACATACTGGTAACAACAGCCTTTGGGGCATTCTAATGGAAAGCTAGTGGACATAAAATTATTGTTCACTTGCCAAGGCCTTTAAAATGTCAGATTCAAAAATAGGAAACATTAAATTGACCCTTTTTATATGTAGATCCTCTAATAACTGTGTATTTACACATTAATAGTACATGGAACACCATTGGTACTACTGGTGGTGTTTTCATTGTTACAGATAATACAGTTTATTTGAATAAACATTTGTATCAGCTAGTTTTTTAGTTACACTTACATTTACATAAAATGTTTTGATAGATGTAACAGCATATTTTCGCCCTACTACTGTAATTCATCTTTAACATTGAATAAATCACCAGTAGTTACATTGTTGTCGCATGTATTGTTTGATCTACATTATCATAGACAAACAATATAAATTGCGACCATCAAACAGAATAAAAATGTAAACACTTATATCGCAACATGTTGAGGATTACACATCACTCCACAATTAAAAGAACTGTGGAGTTTTCGGTGCTCAAAAGCAGAATTTTATTCAAATGCCAAGTCAATTACTAAATCTGAACCACATTGAGAAGCACCTCACTTACTGAAGACAACACTGAAAAAGCCTCCAAATGATTCTGCATATAACTGTATCCCCAAAATGCAAAGTTTACAGAAAGGGGGGGAAAATATATTTTTTATATATTTTATATATAATTTTTATTATAATTTTTATTGTAAATTAAAGCAATGGAATTCTTCAAGTCATTTTGAACCAGTTATTTTTGTCTGCTCATTATACTAGTTTATCACAAAGTAAAGGTCAACTGAAGTTTTCAAATAATGCAAAAAATGCTATCCTGTGTATGTAATTCAGTAAATGTCTGTTAACTTCCTATTCAATAATGTTTAATAAATTACGACTTATGAGTCATCAGATAATCCAGTGCTGGACTTTATTTATTTAAACAAATTACATATTTTAATTATGTTCTACTTTGGGTTTAAAATAAGAAAACATAGTTTTGATAACTGTTTGGGAACAAATATTTAAAATAACATTTCCAGTTACAATTGTAATCCTTTCTGATGAGCCTTCACCTTCCAACTTTTAATATTTTTTTTTAATATTTTAATACTGAATGCTTGTAAAGAACAATGGAAAATGGCCAGAAACATCAGTTATTTTCATATATATAAATGATCTATACATTAATGCTTATTTTAAATCACTCAAGAATTTAGTGATCATTGTTTTCCAAGAAAAAAACCCAAAACAAAGAGAAAGGAAAGCAATCTAACACATCAAATGTCACACATGCTTTATTAACTTTGGAGAACATTTGACTTACTTGAATCTAAATCTCCTTAAATGACCAACTGAACCAGCTGAAATCTGCACTGAGGAGAAAACAGCAACATAGAGGGATTTATTTAAACCTGGCATGAATAGAAATGTTTACAAATGAAATAATGAAGCATAATTTATTACAGTATGACATATTAATGCAGGAGAGCAGAACTCCAGTTCCATGTCTTAGAACCTGGAGCTGATTGAATCCTGTTCCTGTCCAGAGTTTAGTATGTGTGACCCTCTAAGCCCCCCTGAGTGAATATAAGTAGTGGAAAATGAATGGAAAACACCATTGACAAAAAAAAAAAAAAAAAAACTATATTTGTGAACACATGAATGATGTGTGATAATCTATATGATATTTTTTTGAGGACGGCCCAATGATTTTTAGCCTTTAATGTTAATTTATTCTGAATAATATTCTAAATAATTTACAAAGACATTGGAATTAGTAAGTAAATATAATTTCACTAATTCATGATCATCTCAGGAAATGATGTGAGCGCTGAGCAGCAGCTTTGGAGCTTCTAACTTGAGAGTACACAATGTCTTCAGGCTGTTCTCTCTTCACTCTCCCACCTTTGGCTTTCTTCTCTTTGATGTGGATGGCAGCATAATGCGGGATCTCAGTGTTTTGATCCTGTAAGAATAAATATCATCATTTACTAAAAGAAATATATTATATATATATATATATATATATATATATATATATATATATATATATATATATATATATATATAATATATATATAAAAATGAGTCATGCCCAATTTGCATGTTCAGTTGTAAATCAGAAAGAAGAAAAAAAACAAAAAAAACAGATTTGTCTCTGGTTGAAATTTGAACTGCACCAAATCTTTAGTGGAAAATGTACTTTAAAACAGTAAGTGCATAAAGAACTTTCTCTGTAGAGGAGATAAAACTTCACAGTCACTTTCAGAAACAGTTTAATGAGGCTAATGCACACTTACACCCAGTGTGGTGTTCAGATTTTCTCAGTTTATGAATTAAAATGGCTTGAGTGCAGATTACAGCCACACACACTGCTGAGAAAACTGCCAGAGTCAGCATTACAGGATCTGCAGGACCTACAGGATCCACAGGACCTACAGAAAAGACTTATCAAAATACTGTATACAGCAATGCAGAATACATGGATGAGTAGGTTCACCGGTGGTTTTGTATAGTATATGCAGAGTACATAGTATATACAGTATATCACAATCGCTGGTTCTTATTATCATCACTGTAAAAAATTCTGAGTGAGTTATTTTCTTTATATTAAATAATTTCATATCAAAACCATTCTGAATTACCTTGCTTACATCTCCGTAATTTATTTACATTGAAATGTTCTAATTGACGTCCATAGTGAATAAAGAAACATAAAAAATATTAACAAATATACACAAGTGCCTAGTTGTACAATGCACAACTTACTCAGTTCTACTGCTGTTCCATTCCCGAAAATGATCTTCCCACAAGCAGCCACAGCGCAGTAGTAAGTTCCAGTATGGTGGTGGTCGAGGATGTTCTTGGAGAAGTTGTACACAGAGCTGTGTGTAGAAGAGCTGATCTCACACTGACGGCTGCTGCTGTTCTGATGAGTGTAAATGATTTCAGGAAAGGATTGTCCTGCAGCAGCTCTGAACCAGAGCACTCGGAGTTCTGCTGCTCTGATCTCAGAGAGGACCGTGCACTGCAGAGTGACCGACTCTCCTGGAGAAACTGAGCCCCGTACTGGAGTCTGGAGCACTGATATTTCTACCTGCCCTGAAAAAATGTAATATATACAGTGCTAGAATAACACTGACATATCAGTACTTCACTGTGTCCACTGTGCATCTAAATTGTAACAGTGACATTTAATGAATACTTAAAAACTAAGCATCACTTTTACACTAGAATTGATATTATCAATGTCAATAGTAAAAACTTATTTGAAAACGGCTTCATATAATTGATGTTAAGAAGACTTAAAACAATAAATCAATTATATTACCTGTGACAGCTAAGAATGTAGCATTAGAAAAGTGCGTTGTTTTCTCTCCAGCCGCTGCACAGAAGTACATTCCTTCATCTTCTTTAGTAACAGGGTCAATACTGAGAGAAGTGCCACTCACAATTCTGTTGATTTTAAATCTTGATCGGTCAAAAGAAGCTGAAATCCTTGGTTTCTTATCTTTAAACTGTAATCCCACTTCCAATGGCATATGCTCCAGTCTTTGTTTGTACCATATCCTAACATCTGCATCTGAGTCATCTACAGATGTGCAGATGAGAGTAACCGTTTCACCGGGCTCAGCTGAGACGACAAACAGCTCAGAATTCCTCACAGCTTGAGCAGAATCTGTAAAACAAAGTTCAATCTATTCAACCAAAGTTCAGTCAATAAAAAAAAAAAAATGGAAGAAACTTAAAACAAGTGTAACTGAGATAAATATAAAAAGAATTTCTATGGGTAACTTTATGAAACTTACATATTTTGCAGAGAAGTAAGATGATGATCACAGCTGGATCCATCATCAGAAAACAACAGGTTGCAACTTGAAGGCAAATATGAAGGCAAGGGTGGGACTGAGTAAAGCTTCATGCCGCATTAGCCTGCTGGGGTCTTGTACTGAACCCCATTGGATGGTAAAAGTCACATGGTTCTTTCTGTCTACTTGACTTGATCTGTCTGGCCACAACAATGTTCCTCTTGGCTCCATCTATGTCAGTATTATTATTATTATTATTATTATTATTATTTAATAATAGTTTTGGTTCCTGACAAGCATTCTGTTTCATCTTACTTACTAACAAATTAACAGCATCTACAGAGAAACAGTCACACATAAGAAACCCACTATTTTCTTGTGAAGATTTCAAGACCTGATCTCCTGTTTAATAAGGAATGTGGTGGACAGTAACAAAGTAAGCGTAATTCATTACTGTACTTAAGTAGTTTTTTCATGTATCTGTATTTTACTGAAGTGTTTCCATTTTGGGTGACTTTTTACTTTCACTGCACTACATTTCAAAGTCAAATATCTTACTTTTTACTCCACTACAATCTGCCATTCCTCTTGGCTTATGTGTGTATCAAAACGTAACATCAAAACAAAAGAAGCATGAAGCAAGAACACCAATCAGGGCACAGCGCACACTTTGTTTTGAACTTGTTTTGACCTGTTGGACATACTTATCCTTTGCAAGCATACGGTTCAACATCAGTGCAGCAGCGTAAAATTATGGGTCTATTCCAACATAAGTGATGGAACTAACCTAACTTTGTGTAAATAGACCACAATATAGAAATATGTACACATATGCAGTTGTGACTGACGTGTCTTTTTTCTGAATTTATACAAACATTATTTCATTTTATAGTAAATTTGTTTTTTGCTAGTTTATGTTTATGAACAGAGACTAACAGATGCAATATAGTAAAGGAAAACTCATTTGTGAACCTGTGTTTAAAACAAGTTTTTATTAAATTTAAATTTGTAACTAAGTTGCAAATAAATCTTAAACTGAAACTTTGCTTGTTTGTAAAAAGTTATTTCAGAGCCACTCGGTTCTACCTAATGGAAACTGTTTGTCTTCAGTGTTTTGTGCTTATGATAATTTTAATAGACATCGGTGTCAGACTAATTAATGACATTCTATTAAAATATCGGTTTACCAAGAGTGACACTGGAGTACTTTTACCTAAAATGAGTTAATGAAGCAAGAGTCTTGTTAGAAAAATGGTAATAGGACATTAGAGTCATAATTAATCTTTTAGTACTTTTGCTTCCGCTACTTAACTACATTTGAAGGCAAATACTTTTGTTCTTTTACTCAAGTGGAGGTCTAAATGGAGGACTTCTACTTTTAATGGAGTATTATTTTATCTTGCATATCTCTACTTTAACTCAAGTACATGTTTTGTGTACTTCCTTCACCACTGGTTGGATTATTTTGGTACTGGTGGAAAAATTCAATTGCCTCTCAGTACTTACGCACATTATTAAGACATCAATATGTTCCTAATACTGTAAACGAATCTGTGACCATTCTGTTTACCTCTGTCTACTTACAGAATGACTGTATCTGTGTGTTTGTCCAAGCAATGGCCTTAGAATAAGAGTTCTCATGCATTTCTACAAATTCTATATTTACAAACTCATCAGAACTTTGCCTGTTGCTCTTAACTGTGTTGAATCCATTATTAATCTTTGGTCATTATGACCTGTATTAATATATGAGGTCTGTTTTGTAAACATCACTTATACTGGCATTATTAGTTGTAATAACACAAAATAAAAACAAGTCCAATTTTGTCAAGTCTGAAAAAAATACTTTTAAAATAAATGACTTTTACCAAAATTTATATTTTTTTAGTGTAATATTGTTAATTTTATATGTTAATAGGCTGTAGACAATGTCAAATTTGGAGTTCATTGAAACTAAAAAGAGTTCATTTAAGTGATCAGTAAAGTTAAGAACAGCCCAAAGAAGTTTTCAATAAGTCAATTTGCATTAAATCTTATTTAAGATATTTTGATTTTAAAAATCCTGTCAGATTAAGCTGCACTTGGTTGTTAAAATGGGCTGAAAGTCACAGTAAAATACTCCTAAGTTATATGTTTGGTTACCAAAAATAATCAGTAAAAAACTAACCTGCTCTTTAGAATATGGAACATATTTTGATGTATTAGTGATTATTAAACACTTACTAGCTCCAAAATAATGAACTCCAAAAATCGCCTCACTCTGCTTAGAGCCAAAAGGAACAAAATGCTGCCAATTAAACATGGTTCATTGCAAAGTTAAGGCGCTCCTGGTCAAAAGACGTTTTATTGATTTTCTAAGTACACAGAACACACATCTGCACATTAAATGCACAATTACTGTTTATTTGCTTAATTTAACAAGTTTTGGAAATAAACCTAAAATCTTTTTTTTTTTTTGTTTTTTTTTCCAATATGTTAAAGAAAATGAAAAAACTTGTAATTTGCTCAGGGGTGTCAAAACATTTACATAAGACTATTATGTATTACAACTAATAATTCATTTTAGGTCATAATGAACAAAACTTAATGCAGAGTGAATAAACTATTTAGACATCTTTAATTGTACAAAGAACAAAAATTTAATAAACCTGAAATTTGTATATTGACTGTAGAGTAATTTGCATGTTCAGTTGTAAATCAGAAAACAGAAAAAAAACTGATTTGTCTGCTGTTGAAATTTGAACTGCAGCAAATCCTTAGTGGAAAATGTATGACAACGTTTTTGGGCCACTGTTAATAAAAATAAAAATAGTAGACTTCTAGAGAAAAGTTGAAATATTTCGAGAAAAAGTCATAATATTTTGAGAAAATAGTCATAATATATGGAGGATAAAGTGGGCTAACTGTAGGGGGCTGCCAGAACCCGTTGGGGTCTCGGTTGCTGTACTGGATGCCGAGCGCACCGGAGCTCCACTCACTCGTCTCTTTGTGGATTGATCATTTTGATCATCATTCTCATTGTCTGTGAAACGCCATGCCCTCTTTGAATGGCGCGGAGATGTAGCCACTGATAGCTGTGTAGATGACCCTGCCTGAGATTCTCCTTCAACAAAACAGACAGACAGTTTCCTCCATCTGCCTCTTTGTTCTACATAAACACAGTTTCCTGCACAGCTGTTTCAGCCGTTTCTTATTTTATAACAGGCTGGTGCTGATGGTCCAGGAGAGACAGGGAGACTGAGTATTTCTTTATGGGTGAAATCGATATGAAAGTATAACTCCACCAACTGCTCAACACCCTGCATTTTGACATGAGGAGGTGCTGCGTTCCCTTTGCAAAGTCTTTGGCTACAATATTCAATGTTTCCAGGTATTAATGACACTTTACTGTCATAATTCTATGACTTTTTCTCTCAAAATAGTACGACTTTTTTCTTGAAATATCAAAATACTGTATACAGGAATACAGCAGTTCAAGCCACAAAATCCATTCTCCATCTGATCTAGTTTAGCTGGACTTTCCATGTCACATTCATTTTATTACGGTTTAGCAATTTTTTATTTTTTTATTTATTTTATTTTTTTAACATGAATAAAAATATTTTAATTTTGTGCATGTGTGAAGCTGAGAGGGTGTGGACATAATGTGGACAAAATTTTGACAAAAACATTCTTACTATGCTTTTCTGATCACCCTGTGGCCCAAACTCGTTTACTCTTATCTCTCCCAGCTGTTTCTGAAGTTGGGTCTGATACTTGTTTTTATCTCAATAAAGATATTTTTGGAAAATTAAACAAGACAAAACAAAGTAGTTTTCTGTGAAATGGTGAATTGTTGAGAAACAATTTTTCACAGTGGTGTTGATAAGAACCAGACATCTAAAACACAGAAAACATAGTTTTCTAGAAATCTATAAATCTTTAAAAAGTTTCAGAAGTTTTTGATTGAATCCATTTCATGCATATTGCTGGAGAAATACATGGAGGGCATTTTAAATGAATAAATAAATAAATATATAAATACAATACATAGAGGAGTAGGTTTACCGGCTGCTTTGTATAGTATGCATTTGTTCACCAGTGGTTTTTGTATAATATATGTAGTACATAGTATATCCAGTATATCACAACCCCTGGTTCTTATCATCACCACTGTAAGGAATTCTGGGTTAGTTATTTTCTTTACAATTAACCATTTCATATCAAACCATTCTGAATTACTTTACATCTCCAGAATTTATTTACACTGAAATGTTCTAATTGATGTCAACAGTAAATAAACAGATAAAATATTAACATATATACAGTGCCTAGTCGTACACAGAAAGACTTACTCAGTTCTACAGTTGTTTCCCATTTCCAAAAATGATCTTCCCACAAGCAGCCACAGCGCAGTAGTAAGTTCCAGTATGGTGGTGGTCGAGGATGTTCTTGGAGAAGTTGTACATAGAGCTGTGTGTAGAAGAGCTGATCTCATATTGACGGCTGCTGCTGTTCTGATAAGTGTAAATGGTTTCAGGAAAGGATTGTCCTGCAGCAGCTCTGAACCAGAGCACTCGGAGTTCTGCTGCTCTGATCTCAGAGAGGACCGTGCACTGCAGAGTGACCGACTCTCCTGGAGAAACTGACCTTGTTACTGGAGTTTGGAGCACTGATATGTTCAACTGAGGTTGACCTGATGAATATAATAAAGACATTTCGGTTTCCCTCATGACCTTCTCATTCAGTTTGTTCAATATTAAAAATTCTACTCTGTTAAATGTGGTTATATTGCAGCCATGATTGTTGGATTGATCAGTGTAGGTTAAATAGGTTTAAATCGAGAGCTCTGTATTTAAAAAAAAAAAAAAGTATCATTTTTGTACTAGAATTGATATTAATAAAGTCAGTAGCTACAACACATTTCAGAATAGCTTCACATAATTAATTTTAAGAAGTAAATAAATCTCACATGTTAAAAACACTGAAAACAATAAATAATTTTTATTACCTGTGACCACTAAGAATGTAGCATTAGAAAAGTTAATTGTTTTCTCTCCAGCTGCTGCACAGAAGTACATTCCTTCATCTTCTTTAGTGACACAT